TTTCTTTTGGGTACCCCCTCGTATGTGCTATTTCGGACGGTTTCCCAGATAGATCTAGGTGCTGGGTTTATTCGACTCGACAATAGTCTGCTGGCACCTGCTCACGCTGGTTGCTCGCTCGCGGATTTTCTTCTTTTTTCTTTCTTCTACCCTGAAGACGGAAGCGATACATTCCTCCGAAAAGTCAGTTAACACAATAGCAACACGGTGCCACATCCAAGAAGACTGCTTTCTTCAAATTTTCCGTTGTTTTACAGGAGACTTCAGTGATAGTACAGAACAGTAACATTTGTATGAACCGCCATGAAAACCTCAAATCTTACAATTTGATATATATTTAAAATACTGTACATTAAGTTATAACTCATATACATAAAACTATCCAAAATAAATTAATGAAAAAATATATATTTGTTTTCGTATATTGCTATTACATGACCGCGTAATATTTCTTCTGGCGTTTGTCGATATGAAACAGGACAAAGATTCTTTAGGAAATGACGATTCTTTGCATTATTCGACGACCAGATGCATTTACTGGTACTTTCCCTATCCTCACTGCAGATCATGCTATGTGGTATAGCTGATATTCCATCGCAGTTTTTGGAATATCTTCTATCAGGCCGAGTACCGAGTCTAGTCTTCTTATTCCCATTGTAACAGAATTTTCTCAAGCCATATCTTAATACATCTTTGCTGCAGAGGTCATAAGGTCCACGTCTTTCTCCATACAGTGAAGTCATTGATGTCATTAAGTTGTATAAAAATGGGTGGCACTTATTTCCCGCGCTCATTACAGCTCCCCCGTCTCTTGAAATCATTATATTGGCATCTTCAGGAATTGGATACGTTCGTATACAAGTATTATTAAGAGTTATAAGGTCTAAATCATACGTAATACCTCCATATCGCCATAGAGTTAGGACTCTAGCAGCGAATACAGTAAGTGATAATGAGAAATTACTTTCATGTAATATATCTCTCATCGGTGAATCATAGAAATATCTATCACCTTTTATACGAAATACTTTGAGTTTTGAATATGTATTTTGTAGCTCATCAAAGCGTTTATCTGGTACTATATTTATGTCAGTATTATTTAGTGAAATTATTATTACGTATAAATCATAATCTGACATGATTCTTGCAGCGGATTCCACTGCACATAATTTGTGTGAAGAAGAGAAGTCGTCGGTAGTGACAAGAAATACTTTATGTTCCGTTAATGTTGGTAAATCTTCATCGCTGTTATCATTTCCCTCCGTTTCAAATGATGACGTATGTTGAAACCCAAAGAAGTTAACATTATTCCTTCTACGTATTCTTCTAAGCTTATTCAGTGTTTCATCTACTGTGTGTTCATAGTCACAACGTGTTTCTAATTCAAGAACATTCGATCCTGTCTTTGTTACCATTTCATGTGACGTATTGTTTTTGGTAAAGATAAGCAGTAGAGATAATGCCGTGATTACCGTAAGGGTAATGCCTATTGCGAAATACGTGCAAATAACTGCAATGTCTTCCGGCCAGCGTCCAAGAATCATTGTCGTCCCCTGCAATATATTCCTGTTTCGATCTGATTTGTAGTTGCTTCTGGGTTCAGGTGGAATATCTTCCGCATACATCTCTTGAAGAAAAGGGAACCTTTCATCGGGCCATTTCGTCTTGCTTTCAGAAGTTGGGCCAAATATCTTCATTCTTCCTCCATATCTACAAAAAATGAAATGAGCACAAAAATTTGAGCAACCTCATATTAAATGGGTACCGGGGGTAAAGTGTCTGGGGCTTGAAGACGACCGCTCATCTCGATATGGTGCCGAGGTCATGAATGATGGAGGTATATCTCCTCTCCCTCATACACCTTCCTGGCGTGGTGCTTGATTAATTAAACACAAAGCAACTTTCCTTTTTATAGTTTATTGGGTCCCTGTTTCACTAACACATTTTTTCTGTAAATTGGTTATTTAGCGATTATGTTAGTATTGAGATCTGTGCGTAAGGACCAAAACATTGAAACCTATGATTCATGGAGGAAAAGTTCCACGTATTCTTAATTTTGATACTAGACCGGTGGTACTCAACCTGGGAGGTATGAAAGGGTTCAGATGAGGCAAGAACCAGCGAAAAAGAGAATACATGTTAATGTCAAATATGTTTAAGTAATTCCTTCAGCGCACATCAGGATAGTTAATACTGGTATTAAGAAAAAATTCTGTTTGGAAATAATTGAATATTTTCCTTTCTCTACATATTGAGGGTTGGCCTCGACATGGATCCCGCAGAAAACACCGCGTCGATCAGTTATTCTATTGTTACGTGTATATTTCTTACCGCGGCAACGTGTTTACTGAGCCGTTGCCTAGCAAAGACCTCTTCTGGCTCCATTATTCCGGCTTCCAGGCGCCATGTAACATTGCTCATCAATTTTGAGAGGCTGTAATTTTCGTATTGCTGATGGGAAGGATTTATGAAGTACGCCGTTGAGATGGGCTCAGGTGCCGTAATATACATACCAAGTTTCATAAAGATTGGTTCAGGAAGTCAGTAGTTGTTAGGCGGGATACAAATACAGATACACAGACCGCAAGAGCGGTTCATAAGCCTACTTCTAGTTTTTTTTTTTTTTTTCAAATAAGGAAAGTATGGAACGATTAGATTGCAGCATTTGTGGGCATTATTTATTGGCAACGAGCACCATGTAACATAGGAATTTTAAAATTTTGTATTTTTTACTTACAGCCTTGGTACGGTGCTGAGTACGAGCTCGTTGATAATAAAGATTGATATAAATACGAGAGCAAAGGTTTACATTTATTTCAATAAAAGAGAATTCGGGATAGGGCGTAGGGTTTTGAGTTTAGTTGCAACTGAAAAGGGGGGATCATGTCAGAAAGCCGGATAGTCTCTTTATTAAATGGAGGTTAATGGCATGCCTTTTTACGCATTAGTATCGTTTTTCTCCCAGAGAGAGAGCTACCGGTACCCACTGTTTAAGTGGCAAGATGGGCCGCAGAACCGGTCTCGACTCACGGTTGATAAGAATTGAGCCTCGGTCGCCCAGTCCGTACCCATACATTGACGAAATTTGTAGCCGATGTTTCTGAAGAACTAAGATGTCATTTTCTGTAAGTGAAGTTAATTTTACTGCAGCGGAAACTCACGAATTCCAGCTTGTGTAAATTATCAGTCCTCTTACCATGCAGGGTTTGACGTGGTCATGACTGTGAAAAATACCGTCTTCCGGGATGCGGTGGTATGTAGTCCGGCAGACGTTTAGCGACATTTTTTTTGTTTTTTTTTGGGGGGGGGAGATACTGCCTCCATCATCAGGGTCGAAGATTAAAGCCAAGCACGAATT